ACGGAGTCGAAAGGGATTTTTCCCTGAGCTTTTGGAAGCACATTCATACATTGACGTTTTACTCACGTTGGTAGTGCTTCTTGTAGAACAATGGATTGTGTTTCCACACGGAGCCCCCTCCTCCTTTTTAAATTCCTCACAGGAAAATAAGTCAAGAGTAGGTCTTACCGTGAGAAAAAAGCAGCCAGGAGGGAGAGAAGCACCAAGTTTCCTTCTTGTTATAGTTCAAGGAATATTGCTTCATTTTTTTCTCCGAGGTATCAGATCTCTTCTGAGTAAATTCTACCATCCAAATGGGTCCCCAAATGCAGGAGACGGTGGGAGACGGAGGGTGGGAAAATAGCTGTAAAACGCTGAGTGTCCTGTGGTCTCTTTGAAGCTATGGAGACCCTGTTCATGAAGAAGGCGATGCTTTTCTTGTTTTCAGCCCAGAACAAGCTTGTGCCCATGGTGGAAGTCAAGGACCCGGATCTCCACCAGAGAAATCGTGTGGAGCCACGGCGAGTACACAGGAAGACTTCCTGAGAGCCGTAGAGTGTAGGGTCCTCAGAGGAGGATAGAGCTCACTGATCTGTAAGACTCATCATTTACAAAAAAACACCTCAAGTGGCACCCCTACATCGGGTGTGAGCGTGAGGGGGCGGGGTGTTGGCCAGGTCAGTGTGTGTATGATCATACTCCCCAAGAATCACTTCTCTGCTTTCGTACGGGAGTTGACAATGAATGTCTAAGCCCATTGCAGGCACAGAACGGGTTTGTGATGGTGCATGTGCAGCCAATCGTTTGAGTGCTGAATTAAACTGACTTTAATTAAGAAACAAGGAGCTAATCTACAACCATTACCCTGGGAAAACTCTCACTGACAGCAAGTTTAAGGGAGAGACTTGAGGACTCCGATCACATTACAAACAAACTGGAGCACAAGGTATAATTATAAAATCTCCCAAATTCCTGGTAAATTACAACAGATAATTAAATCCTTAGATTTCCCAACATTCTCTGGATGGTCTCCATACAGACGATAATAATAAAAAAAGTGCACCCTAAAGGCAAAACAGATCCCAAAGCCATTAGTGGAAATTAAACACCCTACGGCTTTCTTAGTGAAAATGGTGGTTTGAGAAAGTATTGTCACAATACTGAAATTCCCAAAATTCAGGGCCTGCCATGTGATTCGCTGGGAGGCATTTGGCACATTATTCCCCAAAGCTAGTCTCCGTCTCCAATAACCACAGCCTACCAGTCAATAACAAGTTCATTACCTGACTATGAATCTATGAGCCAAGAATATTTCAGGGTTGTACGCGTGCACTTAGCAAATGTCCTTTTAGGTAGGTTCCTAAAGAGCCTGTCTTTCCCTCCTTAGCTTCTTACAACCAGAAGGTCGTGTTTATCGGGCCTCCTCAGTCTAATTAGTGACGCCAGATGACAATCTACATTCGCCCTTGCTTCTCTGCCAAATGCAACTCTTGCGGCCCCTGTGAGATGAGTCTGAGGGGTTAGTCTCCTTCCCAAATGGAAACAGACTCACTGCCATCGGGTGGAGGCCCACACGGAGTGACCCTAGAGGGCAGGGTAGAGAGGCCCCTGTGAGTTTCAGAGACCGTTCACCCTACAGAGAAGAAGCCCTGTCTTTCTCCTGCAGCACAACTGGTGGTTTTGAACTGCTGACCTGGAGGATCGCAGCAGGACACCACTAGGCGTCTAACAGTTCCCTGTATCTCGCAAGTCCCTTCTGCTCGCACTCCGCCTACTCAATTTCATCAACTCCTGCGAAGCTTGGCAGATGACTACGGGGGTAGGGGGTAGTGGGTAGGGGGTAGGGAGTCGGGCACTGAAGCATCAGACCTCGGACTTGGTAAACACCGTTTAAAATCCCTCCCTGGCTTGGGTGCCTAGGAAGACCGCAAATGAAAAGTTGTCGAAAGCAGAAGTCTAGGCCTTACAGACTTTCTTATTCATCTCGGCCAGGAACTTGGTAAATGCCTACCTGACACAAGCGCAATAAAACTAGGACAATGATTTATTTCATGGTAAAGATAACTAGAATTGAATTGAATCGCTGCGATTGACCTTTTGTCTCAGCGACCATAATTTCATAATTCAAAACACAGTCTCCAAACCCCATGGGCTGCACGTTGGGAACCCTCTGGCCCCTCTCTCCCAGCCCATGTTTCAGGTCCACAATCTGCCCTTTGTTTGGGGGGATGGCCTTCTCGCTGCACGCCTAGCCAACCAACAACCTACCTTTGATGTATACATCATCTCCCCCAGCAACTTCCTGAGCAATGGAACGACTATGTCAAATCAAGGGCCTTCTAGGTGAAAATTCAGTCAAAAATGGAAATTGTGGAGGGCCTAAATGAAGGCAGCATAAGATGCCTGGCATATCACTTTCTGAAGGCTCCTATAAACAGGTCCCCAAAGTGGGTGCCTTTCAGCAGCAGTTATGGAGGCTGAGAGTCTGAATGTAAGGTACCAGCAGGGCTCAGTTCGCTTTCTCTGTTGTAGGGGAAAATCCCGTCTTTTCTCTCTGCCACCTCCGGGGAAGCCCAGGCCTTCCCTGGCGAGTGGATGCATGTTCAGATGGCCCCCTTCCCTGTGGTTGTTCTTCGTGACCACTCTCCTTTTTTACTGCACACCACTCCGAGGGGATCGGAGCCCAGGAGACTCCAGTAAGAGTTGGTGTTAACAGAGAACACCTTCAAAGACCTTCTTTCCAAACAAGGTCACATTTCCAGGTCCCAGGGCTTAGGACAACAGCATGTATTTGGGGGACACGCAATTCAACCCACATCACCTGGGAGATGCACATGACCATCTATGATGACTGAGTAGCCTGATGAATGTGCAAAGATGTTGGATCAGTGTGGGCAGGGCAGTCACAGAGGCCAGCTGTGTGCAAACAGCATAGGCTGGGGGCAATCCAGAGGGGGGGGGGCGTGTAGGAATCAGTCTGCCAATCCCTAGGTGGTAGTGACCTTGTGGATGTTGCTTCAGCGCTTGGAACCTTAGTTTTAACCTGTAAAGTGGGGACAATCACTGGATAGACTCCAGGGTTACTGTGGAGATTGTAAATGAGATGGAGCTTCAGACGTCGCTTAATACAGTAATGACAAACACCTGCCGACCACCAACTGGAAGTCCTTCATACGCTGCAGGTGAACCAGAGAGCGTCACTAACCCGAACAAGGGGAAGATGAGACCGGAAGGAACCCAGCAAAAGCAAAACAAAGGCTCCTAATAACTTCCCAGCAGGGCTTCCCAGGGCAGAGCGGAGGAAGGGCTAAATCAGGCAGGGGGAGGGGTGGTGCTGGCACCACACACCTTCTAGGTCACCTGCTGTCATGTCTCTGCTTCATGTCCTGTATGCAGCCTACACAGAACAGAGCTTCAGAGGAGATGAGCTCATGACCCCACCTGAGCTGGCTGGATCCTCAGTTGGAAGTTGCTTAGCTTAATGTAACTGGAGCCCAGCTGTGACTGGCCCAGGCAAGTATCCTATCCCAGAGGGCAGGACGGCAAACATTACTGGCATTCTGGAGAAGCTCAATTAGAGACAGCAGGGGGCTGGAGTGATTTTCTAAGGAATCCTCCAGGAGATAAGGAAAGAGTAGACTTTCGGTCTTTTTTGCGGGTTAGGGAAACAGTTACTGTCATCTCAACCCTGCACACTTTTGTATCTTACTTTCTAAATTTCTCTGAAAGGTTCCATGATGAACCGGACTCAATCTTTACACTGAACAAGGGGAATGTGATGGTGAAGGAGAAAGGAGTCCAGCACATTGCTCATCACAGGAGCCCCGTCCTCCCTCCTGCCTGTCCGAGAGAAATGGCCGATTCCAGGGCTGGAGCAAAGGCAGGGTCTATGCTGAGTCTGGACTCCCGTGTTATCACTCCCAAGCAGCAGCAACAAGGGAAAACCCAATAAAGATGGGGCATGATAAGACACGTTTTGAAAATGATGACGGCAGCATATGTACAGATGTGCCTGACACATGCGTGGATGGATGGATGGATTGTGATAAGAGCTGTAAGAGCTCCCAATAAAATGATTTATTACAAATAAAGAAATAAAGACACAGCAGTTCTCCAGGAGAGATTCCCACAGGCCAAGTCTGAGCCAGCTGTGGATTATTGCCCAGCAAACGGAAGAATCCACAAGTTGATTCTGATCATAAAGAAACAGGAAATGGAAAAAATAAATAAATAGATGGGAAAGAAGAGAACTTTTTCTTATGGTAGAATACCGCTAATAACTACAGAAAGAACGCTGGGAATTTGAAGACCCTCTGCTTCGTAAACATTAGAAACATTAAGAATATGAACCATGATTGATCGGACCACATGCTCACTCCTGAGTTTACCAGCAAGAGGCAAATACCCATGACACTCCCACAAGGGTAGCGGTCAGACTGGACACAGTGCCACCTTCACCTTCACCTTCACCGAGCAATCCTGAGGGAGACGCTGATAAACACAGGCCATCTTGTAACATTCCTAGTTATTCTCCGAAATCATCATAAATGGTAAAGGCTTAGGGAATGATCCCAGATGGAAGAGATTTCCCACTAAAAGGGCACTCAGGCCCTAGACTAGCTCTCTGGTGCCAGAAAAGGAAACATTTAGAGACAGTCGGAGACAGTGGGCCAAACTGGAATCTGGCCAGCAGATTCATAAAATACAGTATCAAAGTTCACTATTCTGATTTGGGGAACTGGACATCGGAGTATATCCTTTTTTCTTGGGAAATGCACATGGATGGACGGACAGACGAAGAGGTAAGGGGCACAATAGCTAACTTACTTCCAGCAGCTCACACAAGGACCCATGTATGCAGATGGACAGACTGCACACAGTGTAAACAACACGTGACCGAGGGGAAAAGTAACGAGCTCTTTTACTCTGGAAGTTTATGACTCGGTTCCGTCAAACTGCCTCCCATCCACTTGGCCATCATTCAGACCCCGAGCCCAGCCCTGGTTTCTGCTTGGACTCACCAGTCTCCTGAGAATTCGCAACAGAAGCTTCTGTTCCCTGGGGTCCTTCTTCAATGTGAGCAGCTCAGCAAAGCTTTCGGCATTGTCAGGAGACAGGCTATCTAGGGTCTCCCCTCCGTACAGCTGAACCAGTATGGACAGGCACTTGGATGACACCTCAAAAACTTCAGGATCTTCATGAGGCAGCTGAAAATAAACAAATAAGACTACTTGAGCTCCATTTAAAAAATAGTATTAATCTGAGAACAAAGACTCCATAATAGAATTTTAAAAAAAACACATGTATTTTTCAAATTGTACACAGCAACTCAAACTAGGCCAGCTGAATCAGAATGATGTGCTGCCCTGCTTTAATGTATACATAGCATATATGTTGAGTACATATGTGAGGGAACTGCAAATAGTTTGTGGAAAAAAGGAATTAAAATATGTGTGTGTGTGTGTGTGCGTGCGCGCATACAGTGTTAATAGCACAGGGCGGGGCAGTGTTTTGTTCTGGGTTGGACATTGAATAAGGGCAACCAAAGAAGGATCAATGCATTTGAACTGTGGTGCTGGTAAAGACTACAGAAAGTCCCCTGGACAGCCAAAAGAACAAATAAATCTGTCCAGGAAGTACAGCCGGAAAGGCCCTTAGAGGCAAGGATGGTGTGGCTTGGTCTCACCTATTTTGGACATGTTACTAGGAGACCCGTCCCTGGAGAAAGACATCAGGCTTGGTAAGGGGCAGCCTTAAAGGCGAAGACCCCAGACAAGAGGGATTGACACTGGGGCTACAACAATGGGCTCAAACACAAGAACCACTGTGAGGATGCTGCAGGGCCGGTGGTGCTTCATTCTCTGGTACATTGGGACTAACTCAATGGCACCTAACAGCAACAACAACAGCAACAGCAACAGCAACAGCCACATCGATCTTTTTGGTAGATAGTCTGATTTTACTTAACAAATAACGCCAGCCCTCAAAGAATGAGTCACAAAGGGTTCCCTGCTCTTTGCTCTCTGGGAGGGATTGTGTACGATGGATGCTAGATCTACATGTAGTGGGAGAGTTCTTCATTGAAATCAATTTGGCTGGACGCTGCTTTGCCGAAGGGTTTAAATGGCCAATTCAATTTCTTTAATGATTATAGTAGAACTATCCAGGTGTTTCTGTTGATTGAGTCTGGGTGATTTGTGGTTCGGAGAAGAATTGATCCATTTCTTCTAAAATAAAGAATTTGTGTGCATGACATCGCTGATAGCATTCCTTTATTATTCTTTTAATGGCTGTAGAGCTACACATATACTGTCATCCTCCATACATTCATTTTATTAACGATGTCTGTCTTCTCTCTTTGCTAATAAATGCCTATCTGTTTTATTGATTTTTGTTTGTTTGTTTAAAGAATCAGCCCTTTGTTCTATTGGGTTCTCGCTCTTACTGTTTACAACATCTTTCCTTTTTTTTTTTTTGAGGCTGTTGTTTTTCATCATTTCCTTCCTTTTGCTTGGTTTGGTTTAATTTTGCTCAATTTCTCTTTTTAGCTCCTTGAGGCAATAACTTAGATGACTGATTTGAGATATTTCTACATCTCTAATATAAGCAGTTATTATTATACATGTTCTTTTCAACACTGCTTTCACTCTGTCACACATATTTTAGAAAGTGATAACTTCATTTTTATTCAGTTATATGTATTTTTAAGTTTTCCTTTGAGACTTTATTTTTGATTCATGGAGTGTTTAGAAGTGTGTGGCTTACTTTTTAAATATTTGGAAATATTCCTCTTGTCTTGTACTTGATTTCTAGTTAGAGTTCGTTGGGATCAAAGAACACATTCTGTATTAATTATTTTACATTTTCTGAGGTTTGTTTTATGGCTCAAAATATGATCTATACTGTTATAAGGTCCATAGGTGCTTAATATAAATATATTCTGCTGTTGCTGGGTCATGTGGCACATATGCATAGGTCAATTATAGCCTGTTATAGCCAGTTGGTTGATTATGCTGTTCAGTTATTCTGTTTTATCCCAATTTTCTTTCAAGTTGTTATATCAGCTGCTAAATGAAGTTTTGCAGTGTCCCAACTATAACTGTGCATTTGTCTATTTGTCCTGTCAAACCTATCATTTCTCCTTCATGTATTTTGAGGCTTTGCTGTGTCATGTGCACACATTTAAACGGGGTGGCTTCCCAGTGGATTGGTTTTCTTATTGTTACCGAATGACCCTCTCTAGCTAGTAATTGCCCTTGCTCTGAAGTATACTCTACCTGATATTAATGTAACCACTTGTGCTTCCTTAAAAAAAAATTTAATGGTCGAAGGGAATAGCTTTACCCATCCTTTGCCAACGTTCAGTTTGTCAAAACCACTGTATTTGAAGTGACTTTCTTTGGCATGGCATTCTGTTGGGCCATGTTTTTCATTTTGTTTAGTTTTGTTTTATCCACTCTCTTTTAATTGGTATGTTTAGACCATTCATATTTAAGGTAATTAAGGAGAGGCTAGAGCTAAGTCTCACTGGCCATTTTACTGTTCATCTCTACTTCTCATTCCTTGGTTTCTCTTCTCTGACCTCCCTATGGGTCGCTCGGACATTTGTTTTGTGTTTCTGATGCTCACGACTCCGGCTTTCCTGTCTTCCCGATCATTTGTATTCCCTCTAGACCAAGCTGTTCTTGTTGCCATGGCTCCTCAAACGTCTGGAGGTCTTCTGTTGCCTATTTTGTAAATGAGAGGTTGGGTAGATTATTACAGGCAGCTGGCTCAGAAGTACCTTGCATTTGTGTGCATCTCTTTGTTCCTTAAAGTGGCCGCCCCTGCCAGTCCACCCCATTCTGTACTTACCTCACGCTCTGCGCTGTTTTTGTCCTGGGCCCTATTCCCATGCTGAACATCATCTCAGAAAGACAGGCCATTTTACTGTGAGGCTCTCAAATTTTTATGGTGGAGCAAAATAGAACAATATGGAAAGGAGGAAGATCCTGATTGGCCCGATTGTTCCTGGAATTAATCATCAATTAGCTTGGTAAATGTCTTGGGACATTATCAGCTTTTCACCTCACTCTGAGTTTATTCATCCTTGGCATCTGGTTCCACCTTCTGGTTACTTTTCTTCTATGTATGTTCTGGATGATAGGTTTCTTCACGACTTTAATTTGGTCCCATCTGCTTTCTATCATCCATTAAGCCCAGAATTGCTTTCCCTTGAACAGGACCTTTCTGTTTCACCAGCACGAGGAGAAACATTTGATATTTTCTTGTCACCTATTCTGGGTACGTGTTGCAACCAGTACAGATATTTGGGTTTCTATTTCTCTCTAACATTATTTTATTTTTTATTTAATTTTGATTCATTTTTCAAAGAATTGAAGGATGTTAAGTAAAGTCATTTCAAGCAGTTCAAGCGCGGTGCAGTTCCTGTACCCTTGTAGGTCTCATAATGTCTGTATTTTAGGTTTGCTTAAAAATAACTGTGTGTAGCTGATACCAAGGGCTCAAGTAGAAAGCAAATGTTTTGAGAATGATGATGGCAACAAATGTGCTTGACACAACGGATGTAGGTATGGATTGTGATAAGAGTTGTACAAGCCCCCAATAAAATGATTTCAAAATAGCTGTGTGGATTAAGTCCCAATAAAACTGTTAAAACATAAGAATTGGGAAGGAACAGAAATTGCCCCATCTTCCCTAGAATAACGGGCATGATACACCCAACTGCCTGGAACAAAAAGCATTAACAATAACTAACAGCAGACATGAGATGCCAAACAATGATTTGGGAGACATTAGACATCAGGAAATGAAGGACCGTGACCACTGCGAGCTGGGAAACAGGCAAGGTGAGCCCTTCTCTTGTCCTGGTTCACAGGCTTGGCAGAGTTTGCACATCTCAGCACAGGGAAGGGCACTAGAAGAAGATAGCAGTAGACCCCTTCTGCTGCACAGAGAGAGAGAGAAAGCCCTTGGTGACCAAGACAGCTAGAAGTCATAGAACAGAGTCCCAGAGCCAAGGAGGCAGACCCAAGCTCACTCACAAAGAAATAGGGAACTTGGCTAGTACACAAAATCTACGAAGAGAAAATGGGCTCAGACAAAGGAATAATTGCAAGGAGGGTGCAGGATCGTGCAGTAGTTCCGCTCTGTTGTGCATAGAGTCACTATGGGTTAGAACCACCTCCATGCACCTAACGACGACATTAGAGAAAATGAATTCGTGGCTGAAACCTTCCTACAAAGAAAAACTTCAAGCCACCTGGCTTCACTGGAGAACTTAGAGAAAGATTTAAAGAAGAAATACCACCCATTACGTACCAACTCAGAAGACAGGATAAAGGCATACTTGCAAAGTCACTGTGTGAGTCCAGTATGACTTTGTTACCAAAACTATACGAACGTCCTTAAGAATACAGACACAGAAATTCTCCAGCAAATAGTGGGAAACCAGAGCCAAAAGCATATTAAAGGAATTATACACCATGGCCAGGTAGGATTTGTCCCAGGAGCCCAAGGTCAGTTTAACATCTGAAAAGCAATGAATGTTATACACAGTATTAGTCGTATGGGAAAAAAGCTATACCGGCATTTCAGCAGTCACAGAATTGGCAATTTCAATACACCTTTCTCAGGCAGCGTGTGTTGGGAGGTACAGGGCTACGGCTCCTCTCGACAGCCCAGGGAGGGGCAGTCTCACCCTCAAGGAATTGCTTAGACAGCCCTTTAATGGAAATTGAGTTACCAAGGGCTCGTGGTCCTGAGTCAAACCCTGACCAAGGTGGCCAGAAGGTCCCAGAACCAGTCTTGTAAGCTTTTCCCATCTGCAATCGTGTATATATTTCAATTCTGGTCGCTTTCCTGCTTCCAGTCTTGCCTACAACCAGGATGAATGAATGTGCCACCAATCATGGTTGCGTGTGTCATGTATCCCTTGTTCCATATAATGAGCTCTGAGGCTGTGAATCATGTGGGCAGCATTATGGCCTTGTGCTGATTGTCTCCCCACATTGACATTGCGGTAGAGCCCGGAATCGAAAGGCATTTGGGCCGTGGAAGGCCGTGGCCCACAGTCAGAGCCCTAACCCCATTTCTCGCCCTGGCACAAATTCAGAGGCCATGGTGAGTTCTTTACACACTTCTGACCATGGAACTCCCAAAGAGACAGTGACCTTTCTGGGAAATCAGGGAGAGGCAGTGACCACGG